AGTAGCAGCATAAAGGCCCCACAACGCACAAAGCCCGGGCTCGGATGCCCACATGCACTCAAACATTAGCAGCATATAGGCCCCACAACGCGCAAAGCCCGGGCTCGGATGCCCACAAGCACTCGACTCTGAAGCAGCGGGCTCGGATGCCCCAGGCTCGGGCGGTTTTTGCTAGCTAGGGCAACTGCTCCGATAGCAACACCCGATTGCACTGATGGCAACAGTCGGGCTCAAAATGTGCTACCTCCGAAACGGCCTCGGTTGGCTTATAGTTGTCGGACAAAGGGCGTCCGCAAAGAAGAGTGGATTCATCCCTCTTCAAATGGGTGATTCCCGAAATGACATGAGTGACACACTGGCTCCAGCTTACATCGGAAAAGGGGGGCCTAACCCTCGCAAGACCATCACGTTCCTCCATCTCAACTCCCGAGCAAGAAGCCAAACTATCTGCATCAGAGTCCTCAGCAAGGTCCTTGTCCAATTCACGTGCCTCCGAAGGAAACGCCGCCTGATCAGGATCTGGACCGTGAAGCAGACCCTCGGCAACGGCCACGACGCGGGAGGCAGCCTTTAGATCCGGGTTAAAGGCTAAGGAACGGATACTCTCAAACATGGCAGATACCCGGCCATACAGGGTGGTATAAGCCTCGATCGAGTACACCAGCATGGAGCGGTCCTTCGGATCAACGTGGTGCCCCAGCAATCTCCTGTCCGACTTGCTGAAGAAGACCACGGATGACTTTCCAGCCCACATGAGGAGGGTTCGCTTGAGGCTGTGAGTCCCAAGCTTCTCCAAACCAGTTGATGCAGGAATCTCCGACATGAGAAATTCGCGCAGATAGATCGCTGCTTCAGATGAGCTCATCTTGGATGTACCCCATCTCCCTGATCTCTCGCTGAACGTCGGGAGGAAAGGAGTTCCATCCACTAGGTTTTCAGCCTTCCTAGCAGTGATCCACCTGCGGGCCCAAGGCACTCCGGATAGCCCCAGACCAATGGCCGCATAAGGCAAGAGAGTGCACTTCGCTGAAAGGGAATAGGTGGTTTTCGAAGTAAGGGCCTCACCCTGAAGAAGCTCAAATCCCGAGTCCTCATCCACCGTCACAAATATCCTCTGCAGTGTTTGAGAGTCACGCCACCGTGATCCAGCATGGAAGCAAAACAACAATTGCCCCGCAATGCACCCATGGCGTGTAGAACACCTCATCATGAACCGCTCCAAAACCTCAACTTGCCCAGCCGTCAGCTCCTGTTTCTGACACAGCGGGCGCTTGCCAAGATGCATCTGTCTTGCTAGCCCTCGGCAACGCGAAGAAACCACCTCCTCAACGTCTACAAAGTTAAGCTTCACCAAGCCGTCTAGGAAGCGAATTGCCTCGAGCAAATGAGTACCAGCAGTAGCCCCCGCGTTCTTCTCCAAGTGTTTCAGATACTGGTAGAGCTGTGACTCGGAGAACCTCAAAGGGGAACCACTACGGCCCATCAGCCAACTTGCAAACTTTCCCAGCGAACAAGACCTCTTGTATATGGTGCTGGCGGCCTTCATTACGAACACGTGGTCAAAGGCCGAAGCAATGTCCTCTTCCGAGGCCAAGTTACGAATGTCAGTCGCCAGGGTGCATCCCAACTTTGAAGCCAGGGGGTCAAGCATTACAAGACTGCGGAGTCTGTTAACTGCGTGATTTCTCAGATCTTCATCAGACTTCTCAAGGCGGAAGTGCTGGAGCCTCTTTTCCACGACCCAAGAAAGGCCCTCATCCGAAGTGGGTAAGGACGGCGCAGCCCTCGGAGGATCCAAGGACTCCTGCAGTCCAACCTCAGAGAAAGCATTTGCCCAGAGCCACTCTTCATGAGAATTCCGATCAGAGAAATTTCCGAAGACCTCCCCGAAAGGTCCACTCTCCCATGGCTGACGCGGTCGTTCAACCCTGGCTTTCTTAATGCAGAAAAGCATGGCCGTCTCTTGCATGGCCAGGATGTGCTGATCACACGAAAAAGAGGGCATATGATCGAGATCAGGAAGACGACTCTGACGATCCTCTAAAGGGGGACTCGTACAAACTGCACCCACATCCGACTGAGGAGGTTCATCACGCACCATGTTATACCATTGCACCTCACCATCAAGCTGCTCAGGTTGCCCTTGGGAAGAGAGCTCAAAATCCTTTTCAGAGACCTCCCCAATTGCATCTTCCGGATCAGACAAACCAAGACCTCCTGATTCCGGCAAAGGAAAGGGTGGTTCGCTTAGGAAAATCGAGCCAGGATCTAAAAGCACCTCCTGCGCGTCGAGGAGAGGTAGGTCAGGCTCTGTCAGGTCAGTCTCTTCCAGGCACCCCGACTCACCCCCTAGCATGGTGCCGGGAGGTCGAAGCTATGCGGAAAGGCCCAGAAGCTGCCGGGCGCCCGCGTGGGATCGATGTCCAGCGGTGGCCACGGCCCTCCAATCTGCCTCGGTCAGGAACAAGAAGATGCGCGACCCCTCGGATGTGCTGAGGAGTACGCCTGCAAAGGAAGCTTCAAGAACGTAGGAAAACAAATGCGGGGCCGCCCCCGCGCGTCTCTGAAGCAGCTGCAAATGAAAGCGTCTCGGAAGGATTCGCACAGGTTGAAAAGGCGGGGCTCGGGGAACTGGCGCCCAATCCCAGCTCAAGGAAGAATCAGTGGCAGATTCCTCAGAGGAGTCGAACATCCATGAACCCTCGGTTCATCAAAAATTGTGAACGGTTCCGTGTTTGAGCCTTTGCGACCAAATACAAACAATTCTGCATGCTCTGAAAACTCATGTATGTCAAGCAAGAACATGACTCTGGTCTGCATGCAAACAACGGTTCCCAAGTTTTTATACACTTTGGTAACAAACTTTCAACGGGAAAGGAAACATTAAAATCATTCGGAGAAAACCCCGGCTCTTAAAACGAGCCTGTTTAGTTGACGGTAGAAAATATTATCCGCAAGCGGAAGGCTATCTTCCGCAGACCCATCAGAGCATACAAAAGCGGACTTCCGGATGCTGAGCTGCAGCTTAGCTGCTCCTGCTCCGACTGAAGCGTGCGGAACACTGCAAGCGCCTGCCTTGCTGCTGCCTGCGGTTCGCGGTGCTCGACATCGACAGAGATGTCGTCCAGCCATACATCCATGGACTGGATCTGGTTCGACTGGTAAACTTTCTGGCAAGTGGGAAACAATGCCAACTTTGCCAAGGCAGGGGCTATGGGGCAGCCTGCCATTATGCCCCTGCTGGCCCATAAGGGGTGAGAAACTCGACCCTCGGAGGAGATCAGTCTTTCGCCTCGATATATCTGGAGCGCTATATTGAGGACGACCTGGGGGAAACCCAGGATTTTGGCTTGTTGGATCAACAGCTCATGCTCGACTGTCTCACAAAAGGTAGTGAGGTCGATGAAGATACTCACCCGACTTAAACCTCTCGAACGGCTGATTTCGGAGAGGAAGACTCTGCGGACAGAAATGTCCAAACAAGCTTGTCCTTGCCAAGCACGTTCGCGCTCGAGAGCGGCGAAACCGCGTACTTGATACTAGAGAAAGCGCTCTACGGTTTGCGTTCCGCCAGCCTCAGCTGGCAGCGACATCTGAACAGGATCGTGTCTGCCCTAGGCTTACAAGCGAGTCCGCTTGAACCGACGCTTTTCAGCGGATGGGTCAACCTTGAATCCGGATGGGAGTATATCATCATGTTAGCGTACGTGGATGATTTGCTCATTGTGTCCTCTACCGAAAAAGGGTTCGAGTACGTCCACGAAGCCCTGAGTTCAGTCTTGAAAGTCAAAGTGACAGGGAGGCTGATCGAAGATGGGCAGATGGAATTCCTCGGCCGTTTAATCCGTTGGGATGGACGACAAATCATGATTGGGGTGAAGCCTGAGTATGTGAAGTCGGTCTTTACATCTTTCGGATGGGACATATCCACCGCGAAAGCATCCTTGACGACACCCGACATCAGGAGTATGTACGATGAGGAGAGTGTTGAAGAGCCTTCGAAGGAGCTGTCGAGTGAGGCCGCCTCACGATTCCGAAGTTGCCTAGGGAAGATAGGATGGCTCTGTCAAACTCGCTCAGATATAACGTATTTTCACTCCATGTTGTCACGCGGACAAAGCATGCCACGGCAAGTGCATGAAGATGCACTTCGCAAGTTCCTGCGATGGTTAGCAGCGTTTCCGCTGTTAGATCAAATCTTCCCGCTCGGAGATGGCAAGACCAATGAGGGGGAGAATGCCAGCCTGGTAGCCTATTGCGACAGCAATTGGGGCAGCGAGATGAGCGTAGCCCGGAAAAGCACCAGTGGCGGTGTGATCTACATCGCAGTGGACAGTACGTGGTACTGCATAAAGGGGTACAGCCGCCTGCAAAGCGTTGTCGCACTCAGCTCAGCAGAGGCAGAGTTGTTTGCCATCGCCGAGGCAGCGAAAGAGGTGGCAGGACTTGCGCAATTGACGGCGCATATCTGGGGCACCCTCCAGAAACCCCACCGCGTGTACACTGACTCTGCCTCAGCTAGGCAAATTGCCAGCATGGAGGGGCTACTCAGGCGCATGCTGCATATAGACTTGAGGTTGTGCTTTATCCAAGACCGTGTCCATAGCGGCGAGTTAGCAGTAGAGGGAGTGGCCGGAACCGAGAATGTGAGCGATCTTCTCACAAAGAATTTAAATCGCCTCCAAACAGCAAAGCATACAGCAAACCCTCGGACTAGAAGATGTCACCAACATTGATTTCCGAGAGGTCCCAGCAGTCAGGTCTTGCTTGTTGCTGTCTGGAGTGCTAGATTCTGTACTCGGGCCGGACAACCTCGAATATGAAGCTTTCTGTCGGCTATGCGAACTCGAGACTGAATATTCAACTTTGCTGATTGAGTTTTGCACGAGTTCACGTTCGAATCTGTACCTGCAAGGAAGTGTGCACCAAGTATTTGTCCTGCCGATTACTCAAGGGGTTGACGGAACCTCAAACGTGGAGGGTCGCTTCGTGTCCTGCCTTCAGACCTCCTTCGGAACAGCTTCATCAAGCTCAAGGTCGATTTGTCCCGAGTCCACTTCTGGGACGCTGACCAGCAGCCGCTGGAGGATCCTGGCGATCTGGCCAGTCGGGAATGCAAGGTGCGCGCAGATTTGCGCCAGGTGTGGCTCATGTCGGGCCAGCGGGCTTCTGATGGAAGTGACGGACCTGCAGCTTAGAGAGGCAGAAGCTCCGGCTTTTCAGTGTCCGTTCTAGAGCACGCTCAGGAGCTCGCTGCTGGTGGCCCTGCTGCTCCCCACATAGAAGTGCGGGCTCTCGGTGTCGCGCAGGAAGACCCGCCCTGACGAGCGTCAGGCCTTGACACGAGGCGTAAGTGATGTGGCGTGGCACAGCCGGGTGTGTTTCAGGAGGGCGGCGTGGGTGAAGGACGCCGCCGTCCAAGACGATCTTCTCGGAGCCCACGTCGGCCACATGCACGTAGATGCCTTTGGTCACGCGGCCGCCGACGCCGATGAGCTTCAGGGCGGGCCAGACCCGCATGGTCTGCGGCATGTTGGTGGTCGTCGGGCCAGTGCCGGTGTACTCGATCGTCACAGCTTCCGGCGGGGCCAGGCGACGGTTGTCCCGCGCATTGATCCTGATGCGGTGGGCGTGGGAGATGACCAGGCTGACATCGGGCTCGCCTTGCCGCGGAAACCTTTCCCGGGCCGCCCGGACCGCTTCCGGGAGGGCCTGCTCCCGGGGCTCGTCGACCCGGAGCCACCGGAGGAAGTGGAAGCTCGGGTCGCTCCTCCTGTTCTCGGTGAGCTCGTGGTGCCAGCCGTCGGTGAGGTCGTGGAGCAGCTGGCAGTGCTTGAGCTCCCGCTGCACCGGGGTGCCCGCGAAGTTGTCCATGACGGTGGGGAACTGGCGGAAGTCGCCGAGCAGCAGGAACTTGACTTTGCGGTTCATGGAGACGCAGGCGATATCGTTCCACAGCCCCGTGTCGAGCTGCGTAATCTCCTCCACCACCAGCCAGTCAATGTTGCAGTAGCCGTTCCGGACGGTGCTCCGCACCCAGTGGTCGGCCGTCTCCGCCTGCGTTCCAAAGTTCTGCACGGAGGAGTGGGTCTTCGTGATGATCTTCACCTTGTACCCTTCTTCCCGGAGGGCGGTCACGACCTGGCGCGCCAGGTGGGTCTTCCCGGTGCCCGGGTAGCCGGTCATCAGCAGGCTCCCTCGAGGCAGTGGAGCACAGGGTCCTCCGCGACCTTCCAGGTGTCAATGTTGCACATCCACTCCGCCTCGATTCGGGGGATCCGATACTGGCCTTCGAGGCCCTTGACCTCCTCGCATCGGTACACGGGCGTGCTGCCGTCGGGATGCCTTTCGCGGACCAGGCTGTCCACGAGGCCCTGGAACTTTTTGGGCAGACGACGCAGTCCGTCTTGACGGCCTTCAGGTACCTCGACGGCACGGTTGCGAGTGCATCCCGGATTCTGGAGACGGCGACGTACTCCGAGGCCATCACGAAGTCGTGCACGCACGGGCCGGCAGCTCCGGTTGGACAACAACTGGGTCACGTAGATGTGATCCCAGTGTATCCCACCCGCGGCGTCCAGGAACAGCTCCCGGTGCTGGCACCCGGAGCCGTCGAACTGGTGGTTGCTGGTGCGCATGGTGTAGATGAGGTTCATGTTGCGTGCCCAGAGCCCGATGAGGGCACTCACCGACAGCTTCGCGTAGTGCTCCTCTCCCTCCGGCCAAGCCGCCTCCATTTTCTGCAGGGCCTGAGCCACGGACTCCTGGTCCACGTGCGCCGTGGCGTCCAGGCTGTACACGAAGTCGCGCCAGGTGGCAAGGCCCTTTTCCAGCATGTAGGCCACCGCAGGCTTGGCGTACCAGCCCTGGCCCACGTAGGGGAGCTGCTTGAACGCCGCCCAACGCCCGTCCTCCCGAAGCCTCACGTAGGTCAGGTCCGCCAGGTGCCCTTCGCGGGCTTGCTCCACGTTGTCCTTGGGGCAGAAGATGGGCGCCGGGAACTTGGCATGGGCCAGACCGTTCTTGCGGCACCGCACCACGTCTATACCGTGGCAGATGTGGTCCGGCTTGTGGCTGTTGAGCTTGAAGACGAGCGGCGGAGTCGAGGCGATTCCACGTACTGCTCGTAAGCCCGCCGGCTGAAGCGCGACTCCAGTGTCGTGGCGTGCGAGGACTCCAGGCTGTTTTGTTCCGGTGGCACTCGAGGCACAGTGCCTGGAGGTTCTGGGCCTGTGCGGCGAAGGACTGGTGCACGGGGACGATGTGGTCCAACTCGCGCGTGGTTGCGGTGATGGGGGCCGCGCAGAGCTTGCGCTGGTGGTCCGCGAGCAGGGCTTGCCGAGATCCGGGCGGATCGCGGCGGGCCTTGAGAAGGTGAAGGAAGACCTCGCTCGCGGCGCCCGCCAGACGCTGGCTTCCTCTCGCCCCGGTACCTGGCCCGCTCCCCGATCGGCTCGCACTTCGCGACGGTGCGGGCGGATTTGTAGAAGAAGGCGTGGCCGTTCCAGCTCGTGAAGGCCACGGCCCGCTGCTCCTTGACGGTAGGCTCGTACTTGTCCAGCAGGCGGCCCTGGCAGTCCACGTAGAACATCGGGGCCTGGCGCCAAAGGCAGAATTCCCGGATCTCTCAGGGGGTGATGCCCTGCTCCCGCCACGTTTTTTTGGTGCAGATTGCGTCGAAGTCCGAAAGCACCTCCTGCAGCGGCAGCCGCATCAGCTCCGCGAGCTGCCGAGGGACGCAAAGCTTGTCCGGCCGCTGTTTGAAGGCGGACTGTAGGATTTCGTCGCCGCAGAACAGCTGGTAGGAGACGTCCCGCAGAGCCCCCAGGGGCTGATCCAGGACGGTCTCCACCACCACCCGGTCGTCTACGACCTGCATGGCCTGCTGGCTGAAGGTCCACTCCCTCGTCGCGTCCAAGTAGTAGCTCTCGTCGGACAGCTCCCAAATAATGTCGTTCGGCTCGGGGTTCCCGAGCTGCGCGAGCGCGGACGCCTTGAGGTTCCGGGCCGGTTGGGCATCCGAGAGCCCCTCGCTCTGCGGGGGCAGTGTGACGTTGAGGTCCGTGACGGGCAGGCGCTTCGTGCGCTCGTAGGGCATGCCGCGGTTCCGGCCGTTTCGCCGGATGCCGCGGATGATGACGGGCACGTGCGCCACCCAGTCCACCCACTTGTTCTTGAAGAAGCTCTTCCCGAGCTTGGTCAAGTGGTAGTTCCCGTTGGGTTGGAGGCTGCGGAGCAGCTTTTTGGCGCCCCCCCGGAGCATGATGTAATCGTTCGGGCCCTTCGCGGATGAGGGGTTGGTTGCGGTCGTACTGCCGGCTGGGGGGCGGCCGGCCGATCAGTTGGTAGTAGTACTGGCCGGCCCTCGTGAGCTCGCCGTTCGGGCGGCTGAGCATCGCGTAGCGGAGGTGGTGGTGTGTCAAAGGAAGGGTTTCTGAGCCTGCCGCTGAGGTCCTCGCCCTGACCCCGGCCTCGGCTGCAATTCTAATCGCTTCTCGTTGTTGAGCCCAGCTCATGACTTTTGAAAACCCCGGCCGGAAAAAAGGTCGTCGCCCGAGCGGGCCCCCCTTCGCCGGTCGAGTTTCCAGGAGTTCGCATCCATAGGTACTGGCGAGGGTATGAAAGAACGCCTTTTCGCCGGTCGACCTAAAAATCACTGCTTCAGGGCGAAACGTTGGCATTTTTTGTTTTGCATGTTCTTGCTGGATCTTCGCATGATTTTGGCATGACTTTGCGCATTTTTTGCTAGAGTGCTTGGGCCGCGCTCGCTCCTCGAAGCGCCAGCAATCGACAACATACCGTGCTAGTCCTAATCATATGCCAACTAGAGACCTTCCTTCAGCACCTGTGGTCGCAACAGCAGCAGGCAAAGCCAGCAACACTTCTAAGGAAGACAGCAGACACACACAGGGTCCTGACACAGGGCCGAACGCCGGGCGCACAGAGGTTCAGGAGGTGTTTGGGAAGGTGTTTGGGGGGTTCTGAGGCTGCGAGGTCTGGAAGTGTTGTGCGTCGCTGTGCTGCAAGGCTTCAGGGTTTAGGGTTGGCAGGTGTGAGGCAGTGAGGTCGCCTGAGTGCCCGGGAATTTCGGGCCCCTCCTGTGATCAGGTGCTCCTCGTCTCCACTGCTGGCAGCCGGGCTCCGCAGAGGCTTCAGGGTCGGTAGGGTTTCGGGTTGCAGGCTATTGTGGGCTCCGATGCAGTGAGGTTTAGTTCGTTTGTGCTCAGGAGTGCCTTGCGTGCTGTCTGCCCTTCCTCCCCTCCCCGCTGTAACTCTAGAGTGCCCTGCGTCTCCCCCGCACCTCCCGGGAACCCCGGGCCCTCTCCTGCGACCAGGTGCGCATCGTGACCCGGCTACTCTTCAACATCTTCGCGCAGCGTGGCAGGCGGGTTTCGGCAAGAGGGGTTCGGGGTTGTCTTGGCGCCTTTTTGTGCTTGTGTGAGCCTTTCGCCGCCCTCCCTCCCACCCCCTTCCCCCCGTAAGCTAAAGTGTGGTGCTCCTCCCCTGTTGTGGGCAGGTGCTCACTTCCTCGCGGCCATCTTCAAATTTTGGGAGGTCCAGCGCTCTGAGTGTGAACCAGACGTGTCTCTGTGGAGATTGCGACTTTTGGGCAATTTTTGAGGTTGGGAGGACCCGGGCAAGGCAAAAATGGCCAATTTGCTGGTCGGGGAGCCCGGCGTGAAAACGTGATTCTGGGAGGCCGGGAAGGCCAACGTGAAAAAGTGAAAACGTGAATCTGGGAGGCCGGGAAGGCCAACGTGAAAACGTGAAAACGTGAATCTGGGAGGCCGGGAAGGCCAACGTGAAAACGTGAAAACGTGAATCTGGGAGGCCGGGAAGGCCAACGTGAAAACGTGAAAACGTGAAAACGTGAATCTGGGAGGCCGGGAAGGCCAACGTGAAAACGTGAAAACGTGAATCTGGGAGGCCGGGAAGGCCAACGTGAAAACGTGAAAACGTGAATCTGGGAGGCCGGGAAGGCCAACGTGAAAACGTGAAAACGTGAATCTGGGAGGCTGGGAGGCCGGGAAGGCCAACGTGAAAACGTGAATCTGGCAGGCTGGGAGGCCGGGAAGGCCAGCGTGAAAACGTGAATTCGTGAATTTGGGCGATTTTGGTGCGAAAAATGGCAAAAAATGACAGGAAAAGAGGCAGATTCACATTTTCACGTTTTCACGTCCGGGACGGGGAGGGCAGGATTCACGTTTTCACGTTTTCACGTCCGGGACGGGGAGGGCAGGATTCACATTTTCACGTTTTCACGTCCGGGGGGGGAGGGCGGGATTCACATTTTCACGTTTTCACGTCCGGGAGGTGAGGGCGGGATTCACATTCTCACGTTGTCACGTCCCGGGGGGGAGGGCAGGATTCACATTTTCACGTTTTCACCTCCGGGTAGGGGCAGGGCGGGATTCACATTTTCACGTTTTCACGTCCGGGGGGGAGGGCGGGATTCACATTTTCACGTTTTCACGTCCGGGGGGGGAGGGCGGGATTCACATTTTCACGTTTTCACGTCCGGTGCGGGGAGGGCAGGATTCACATTTTCACGTTTTCACCTCCGGGTAGTGGGAGGGCGGGATTCACATTTTCACGTCCGGGAGAGGGGGCATTTGGAAGTCTGCGTTCGTGTTGCAAGCAGGGTGTGGGTCCATGAGCTGTTTTTGCGTGCAAGGTCTGGGCGAGTTGGCTTCGAGGCGCACATGCCAGCTCTTTCTTGCAAGCGTGTGTGCCGGACAAGCTTGGGTGCTTTGTGCAAGGGGCTTGTGTGTCAGATTCGATTTCGGCTGGAGCGAAGCTGGGTGCCACCATGGAGGCCTTTGCACCCGGAGCCACGGTGATCCACTCCGTTAGCCAGAAAGTGCACAAAGTTGGCGATGACCGCCGGCTGCTGTGCCGAGCCCGTGTTGCCGAGCAGATGCTGCGTGCCTTGGAAGCCGCGAGGCCGAAGGACGACCTTTGCCACAAATGCTTCCGGGAGCTAAGCGTGCAGGTCCCGGAGACCATGTCCAGCTCGGAGGAGACAGCAGCAATGGAGCCGGTCCAGGAGGAGGAGCCTGATGAACAGCCGGCGATCGCCAGCCTCTTTCCAAAGCTCCCGCGCGGTGCAGCCAACGCGTCAGGCCACTTCCTGGAGGAGCCCGGGTACGAGGTGTCCTTTGAGCCCGTGAACTGCAAGGAACTTGAGGCAGTGTTGGAGCTGGCCATCGTCCGCCAACAGCCTGTGCTCTTTGACGAGATGGCGGCCATCCGAAACCGGGCGGTGGACATCGATAGCAGCGGCGTGGGCCGAATCCCCGTGTGCCACCCGTCTCCTTCGGGACCACCTTGCAAGGGCTTGGCCGTCCGTTCCTACAGCGGCATAGTGCTCAAGCCCGCCGAGCCGACAGAGCCCGGGAAGAAGCGGGCGAAGACCGAGCCCGTGCCTTGGGGAGTCTTGCCAGCAATGGTGCGTGCTGAGTTGCAGCGGGGCATTCCGATCCATCTCGCCGGCAAGAGTGTGGCGGCTCTTTCACCGACGACTCGAGCCGTCGCCCAGACCGGCATCGCGGAACATGAGGTCAACGTGGTGCGCCCGGAGTTCACCATCGGCAAGGCCATGTTTTCGCACCAAAAGCTGGGCGAGCTGCCGAAGCAGGTCCTGGCCTTCCTGATCAGCCGCTCAGACACGCTTGCCCAGACCGTTACGGATCGGCCCTGCGTGAAATTTGTAAGACTGCCTTGATTTGTCGACATGATGCCGTCCGTGACAACGTCTTCGTGGCCCCCTAAACCCCAAACCCAAAAGCAAGCTTGCCTCGAAGCCGGTTCGCCCCAGGCCTCGGGCACAAACACAAACATAGCTCCATGTCAACCCCTCCTGAAGTCTTGCTCCGGCTGGCTTGGAGGGATGAGCCAGCAGTCAAACTGAAACAGGTGGAGCTCGACCATTCGTTCATGCAGATTGCCTTTTGCTCGAGCCAGAGGACAGCTAGGACCAGCAGGACGATTGCCGCCATGAGCAGGCCTCCAGCAACATCGCGCAAGGTCGGGCGCGTGGTGGTGCTACTGGCGCTGTTCCTGGTGTGTTTGCCAGAGCCTAAGACCAGCGCATTGAACAGCGTTAGAAGTGTTCCCGAGCAGCTTCAGGCGAGCAACGCGGACGGCGCGGGCTTTGCTTGGAGCGGGGGCCGTGCCGTTTTCGAGGTGGGATGTGATGGCATGGAGTGCCGATGCGCAAGCCAGAGCGAGGTCGGTTACTGCGGGAATATGGGCACACAACTTTCGCGTCGCACGCAGGGCTAAGGCGGGGAGCCGAGACCGAGAGGAAATTCTGTATTAAACTTATGGCTTATGTCGTGAAGAGCTGAGGCTGATGGCCCTTTGGACCGTGGTGAGGCCGAAGGCAATGAAGACGACAAGGCGAAAAGGGTTTGTCGCGGCGTGGTTGTGCTGTTCTGATGGCGTTTCCTTCGCTCCTGCCCGTTTCTGACCAGGGGCCTTTGGAACCTCGTGACAGCAAAAGCAAGGCGAGAGTGGTTTGTCCTTTCGGTGTGTGTGTGTGTGTGTGTGTGCGCGGGTGTGTTCGGATATCGCATCGAAAGCTGCTCGGCGGGAGCATCAGACGAATTTCGAGGAGCTTGAGGGATTGATTGCGATGGACTCATGCTTGCAGCACATGTAGGTGTTTCGGGATCAGTCCATGCTCGGAGGCCTCAGAAAAGGATCAGGATGAGGTGGAAGAGGCGACGACCGAGGCACTTCCAGGGAGCCTGTTCTTGCTGGTGAGGGCTTCGCAGTTCTGTGTGGCTCCTGCAGGCCAAAGCAAGCTTCGATCAGGCGGGCTCCGTGAAGGCTCGTTGACACTGGCATGTTTTGGAGGCTGTGCCCTTTGCTGCAGGTTTCGCGAAACAAGGCGGTGGATGAGTTGCTTTGCGGTGTCTCTTGCTTTGGTAGTTTTTGTCTTGTCCTTTCGGTGTGGTGGGCCAGGGAGCTTCAGACACATTTCGATGAGCTTGAGGGGTTGCTTATGCAGGCTGCCTCAGCACAGACTGCTGATCCGGTTGAAGATGCCAAGCAGGCTGTGCCTCCGAGGGTGTTGTTGCTTGCCTTTCTTGTTGTGGGCTGCGTCTGAGCGGGCTCTTTGAAGTTCGCAATTGCAGATTGTGGCCTTTGCCCAGGACGAGCAGCTGCAGAAGACGGTTCAGGAGACAGAGGAGATCAAGGAGGAGGTGCTCCGGCTCGAGACAGTTGTTTGTTTGATGTGGGTTGATGCCTTCAGCACGTCTCAGAACCGGTAAATCCTAACATTCGTGGCGTGGTTGTGGTTTTTACAGGACAAAGGCTTCGACGAATCCACCGAGCAGGCCAGAGCTGGCTGGCAAGACGCTGTGTGAGAATCTTGTTCTGCTACTGGACCTGGCAGATCACTAACGCGCAGAAATTTCTAGTGCTGGCTTTGGCGAGATGGGAAGGAATCGAGAAGGATCTGAAGTTGGTGAGCGAAAAGTGGCGAGAAGCCATACAGCAGGGCGACAAAGAGGAAGAAAGAAAGTGGCAGCAGGAGCGCAAGGAGGCGAAGGAGGAGTTCGACAAGGCCAAGGCGGAGGCCGAAAAGGCCAAGGAGGAGCTCGAGAAAGCCAAATCAACGGCACCCCTTCAGGCCGGCGGGCTCAGTTGTTGCTGTTCGTGCGGTCCACCATGTTTGCTTTTTGGGGTCATGCTCTCCTCTCAGCAAGGGTCCGCTCGTCGTTAAGCTGTTTTCACTGTGTTGGCTTGCAGCACAGCGGGAGCGGCCTGTTTTGCGCTCGCTTTGCGCTCTCCAGGTTGCGGTTGCTTTTGTTTGAGGCTCGACTTTCAGGTTTGTGAGGGGAGTCAAGGGACCTGGGTTCTTAGTGCTTTTAGCACGCGGACCTTGGCAGTGGGATTCCGGCAAAACGAGTGCAGGCCGGGGGCTTCTGCATGGGCATGTTGCCCTTGGTTTGTAGCACTCCTGCATGTCCGGGGCTCTTGGTCGTCGTGGGTTTTTCGTGCGGTCCACCGTTGTTGCTTTTTGGGGTGCTGCTTTCCACTCAGCCCCTCGTCGTTAAGCTGTCTCCACTCTGTTGGCTTCCAGCAGTTCGGGGGGAGCGGGAGGGGCTTTCTCAGCAGAGGCTCTTGGCTGCTTCAGGCTCACGCGCATGAGGCTCAGGTTGCTATATCTGTGTTTGTGTGCTTGGCCACCCTGCTGTCGCAGTATCGTCGCTGTTGTTGTCTTTCGTGATTTGTTGGGTTCGCGAAGGGCCTGCACTTCCAGGGCCATAACCGTCGAGGGCCAAAGACCTCCAGCTGTGCGGGCTGTTGTTCAGAGTGTGCTTGTGCTCAGTTTGCGGCGATCTGACCAAACACATTTTTTCTTCTGTGTTCATGCTCACTCAATGCGAAGCGACAGCTCCGGCCAGCCCTATCGAGGCATTGACGACCGCAGCGGGCAACAAGGCGGGTGTCCATGCAATTTTAGATTGAGGTCTTCGGCGAGGCTAGGCGGACGTTGGGAGCAGTCACGTCCTTTGGCAAGGGGTTTTCCAGCTTCTTGGAGGTGGCACTGCTGAGTGGCAATGAGGCTGCGTTTGTTTTTGGTGTTTGTGTGCAGGCAGGATCTACTCTTCTGAAGGACTTTAGCGACGAGCTTCCCGATCTTGACGAACGCTTCTTGAATGGACGCATAAACAACAAAGAGAATCGTCCGTTCTTGGAGCGGGAGACAATCGTGAAGAGGGTTCTGGCAGAGCTGACCGCAACCCAAAGCCAGAAGGTGGATAAGCCCAGGCTCGTGGCTCTTTGGAGCCCTAGGGGCACCGGCAAGACTTCGCTCGTTCGACACCTGGCGCAGTTGGATCAGTATGCCGAGAGCCGCAGATGTGGTCGGCTGCTGGTGATGGATGCGTCAATGTTAGCACAGCATGCACAAAATGATGTGGATACACTGGTTTCCGCCATCATCATTTGGCATCTTTTGCAAATCTTCGACGGCTACGCTGTGGAAGTTGGCCAAGGGAACAGCGTTGCCTTCAAGCGCTTGGACATAGGTCCTGTGTTGAGGCTTCTCGAACAGACCCCATCGACTCCACCCCCGGACGGCAGTGTTGGGTGGTGGATTGCGTCCTTCTGTAACAGCAAGGACGACGTCCTGGACCAGTGGCTCGTTCTCACGGAAAAGGCCTTCGCGGCGAAGAACAGCTGCCCTCGTCTTGTCTTCTTGGATCAAGCAGAACTCCTTACAAGACTTGAGACAGAGGGAACAAAAGAGCGGGGGAGAGCAAGAAAGTCATTGCTTACGGGGATTTTCTCAAGGCTTCCCGCACAAATGGCATGCTTCTGCACGGGCACGCTGGATTTGATGCGTGATGCTCCTGCAGAAAAGTACACACTCCTTTATGTCCATAGCGTGCCAGCACTGGCACCATTGTCTCGAGACGCTGCTGCCGCGACCATGCAACAGTGGAACAAAACGACTTATGACGACCCTACGTTCAACCAGGTAATGCTCTTCTCTTGCGGAGTTCCTCGACTTCTGCAGTGGGCGTTCCAGGCAGACGGGGAGTTGACAAAGGCAAGCACTGAAATTGCATTGAATGAGATGTCGAAGTGCTTCGCGGAGTCGTACAAGTCTGCAGCACCCTGGTTTAGTGACGACATTGAGACCGCTTTGGCAATCGTTCTCTGTTCAGCCGTTCGATGGACCGCAACTGGAAGCCGCCAGTTTGATAGAGTGCCTGGAACAAACACTCCTTGGTCCGACATCTTCCATGCAGGAGCAGCATTTCCCGCTGAGAAGTCGGTACTGGTCCCACGCATCTGGTGGTGTCGGGATGCCGCTGTCTCCGCCAAGCTGGAAAGTCACCTTGAAGGCTGGAACATCGATCTGAAGAGTCTGTTGCCAGATCCCTTGAAGTTGGTTCAGAGTTCGGTCCGAGGTCCCCTTGCCAGAGGAATGCCGTGGGAACAGATGGTTGCAAACTCCCTAGTGGCGGATCGTCTAGATGAGGGCAGACTTAATCGACATGTACCGAGCAGCAGCAACGTGGGAGCTTGGATGAGCTTGGATATACCGGAAGGGCTTCTGCACTGTTGACACCATGACTTCATGGATGCTTGCGAGCCAGAATTGACCAACGATATGCTTGTAATCGCAATCCCTGCGCTGCGATGCGGAGCAGGATCCATCGGTAGCTTTCTGCTCAAGTTTGCCAACCCTCCCTGTGACCATTATCGCTTTCTTCAGGCATGGCAACAACGAGTGAGCTGAAGTTCATGCAGCAGGCTGAGAATTGGCGAAGCGTCGGCCTATGCAAGCTGAACAACCTGAATGTCCCAAAGTTGCTAAAGATGCAAAAGGTCCAGCATGCAGTCCATGAAAAAGGTTTCTTTCATGTCCAACGTCATCTTATGACTGACGAGGAGCTTGAACATTGTGAGTTGGACGAAATGGAGCTTGATGATGGCAAGATGATGATGCTAGTGGACAAGAGTGTCTTTCATTGGACGGTGCTCCATGAAGAGAAGTTGAGCGAGGAACGCTTCCAGGAGATGATGGACAAATTGCAGCAGAACTCTCGTTACAGGGAAGCGCTGAAAAGCATTTCGGGCGAATTCCCAAAGAGGCTGAAGAGGAAATCGTCTGGCGGAACTGATCGTAGCTTCTTCGTGTTATACCTCTCGATGCCCAGCAGTTGGCTGGAGCGTTTGCAGAGCATTCCTGATTGGCTCTTACCTGAACGTAAGCAATCAAAAAGGCAACCCATTTGTTTGGACAAACTGCTGTGTTGGAGGGTTTTGGAAGGTTCTGGACGGTCCTGTTGGGCTTGAGGTTGCACATTGATTTGGGTTGAGGCCATTTGTTGACTCGGTGGCTTGGCTCTAAGCTTGTGCTTTTAACTTGCACAAGGCCCTTCGACTAGGCGGCCTGCGATTCCCAAATTTCTTACTGATGGTCGAACTTCCATTCGTGAGAGCCCAAAGCCTCATGTTCCCGCCGCCTGCACTATCCCCACCCCGGCACAGATGGCGATCTGCGGCCTTGGCCTTGCCGGTGCCCTCGGAGGCTCGGAAGCTCTTGTGTTCGACGGGTCGTCCAGATTGCAAACATTACGTGACAGAAAGTGCGTTCCTGTGTGGGTATGTTGGTGATGCTTCTGCACTTTTGGAAGACATGTTTTGGTCGACTCATGGGATGCTTGGATGCACGTGATTCGGGCCAGGTCCCGGTATGACAACATCCAATCAGGCGACATAGAAGTCTAGCTTTCGATGCCAGGGAAAGTTGCGCAGTTGTGTTGTCATTGTGATGCGCTTCCGTCGTGACTTCATCTTTCGAGGTGCTGCCTTTGTTGTTCCCACCGGGTCCACCAGCACCCGGACCACCGCGGCTACCTCCCTCCGGCGAGGAAACCAGGTACGGGCATTCAGAATTTGGGCTAGGGGCTTGGGATTTTAGCGTTGTTTCGTCCAGCACCGAGGTTGCAAGTCATTGGGTGTGAGAGGTTTGCTTTGCTTGCAATTGGGTGAGTCTGGGGACTGCACGAGGCTCCTACGTGTGTGGCCATGGAATGTCGTAGAATCAGTTGTCAAGATGATCAGTGGTTTCAGAGCCCAGTGCCTTCCGAGCTTTTCAGCGTTTGAGGGTTGCCATTCTTGGTTCTCGTGTGGCTTACGGCTTTTGCAAGCCTTAGAGTTCTAATGCGTTGTCAGGTACAGGGCTCGACTTTCTCAGTTGCTCCCACGTTTTTGGTTGTTTACGCGCGAGAGAACTCCGCTGTGTACACTTGACGTCTCCTCAGGATGCGTTGGGTTTTGAGTTTCGAGTTTTGGTGTAGGCTTTCGACATGTTTCGACTGTTCGAGGGTTCTATGGGTTGAAAGTGTATATACAGAGAAGGTCTTGCAGTCCGGATAGGGGGTATGGTGGAGCACCAGATCCTTGCGTGCTTCACGTGTTTCTCGTTTTTTGGCGGCCGAAGAGTGAAGCGATAGCATTACCGGAAACGGGGAGGTTCCGTGAATCGTCGAGATTCAATCTGCGTGCATTCTTCGAACACGAAACACTCATTCCTAATTTCCGGAGCCGCAGCCCATCGAAAACGCAGCTGTGTACAATGACTGTTTCTCGCTTGCGCAGCTGCTGATAGGGACTTGTCACTGGATGCTACTGTGACATGCTGGTAGTGGCCGTGTTGGGACGTCGAGGCCCTGCAAACACCTTTTTTGCCTTCCAATCTCGGCGAACCCACTTTTCAAGCCGGCAGACGATCTTGCACTGAAGAGGCCCATCCACAAACGCCAAGCCCTGAAAGCCCCGACCCTCAAACCTCCTCGACGCCGCAGGACGCATAGGGCTCGGGAAACAAGATGCGGACCACGGCCTTGATAAGCCCGAAAAAGCCCGAAAAAGCCGAGCCCAAGTGCACCGAAGCTCCGCCAAGTCCACGCATCCATCGGCGCCGGCTGCACTGTGGCTGCCGGAGCCGTCCTCGCCAGCCAGGCGGGGGAGGTTTGTTTCTTTTTTGGGGGCGCTTTTGATCTAGGCTTTGGGCGGGGGGGGGGATGGTTGTGGGCACAACTTTAGGAGAGCTCTGCGTGCGACCCGTTTTTTTTTTGGTGCTTTGTTTTGCAAGTGCCGTCTTGTTTCGTCAGTTGTGCATTAGGTATGTTTCGTTGGCACTTGTGTGTCTTATTGGGTCATTCTTTGTTGATGCTCGCATTTTGGTTTGCCAACGGCACGTTCTTCAGGAATCCGTGTTGCTCTGTCTATTTGTTTGCTGGGGGTGGTGGAGAGGTGGGTCTGTCGAGATGTTTTTGCAAAATGCGCATGATGTCTGGCCAAGTTTCTTCAAAACAAGACTCTAGACTGCATGCCGAACATGCAGCAGAACCGTGTCCATGACCTTGTTGCTTGAACCTTGACAGTTTGGCCTATCTGACAGCGGCCCAGAGCAGTCAAGAGTACCTGAACATCCTGAAGCGTGGCAGGTGAAAAGAGCCCAGGGCAAGGCGGGGGCATTGCGAGCTGGCTTTGAGGGGGCTTTTTTGTTTAGAGTTTCAAGGTTTCTTTTGGGGAGCCCCCAAAGAGCCTCGAGGCTGACAACTTGTGAGCCGCAAGCAAGTTGCAACAATGCCGAGGGATGCTGTTGGCATTTTCTTGAAGTTTGTTTTGGAAGGATATCAAAAGGTCTCTGAACCTCTAACCCATTGTATTTCAGGGCCAAGACTTCCCACCCATGACCATAAGGCTAGCCGTACTAGCGGCCTGAGCACAACAAGGCCCCTAAATCGGTTGACTATGGCATAAACCGGGTTCACAGGTAAGCTTTCAAACAAGAAAAAACCAGCTCGGGGGCAATTTGGCCATTTTAAAGACAAGGCCTCTGAGTCCAAGTTCACGACAGCCCTTGGTGCCTTCGAGCAGGCACCGGGGCCTTCGGGCCTTTCTTTCTGACTCCGCTTTCGTGATGTTCAGGAACTTTGAAGGTTGTTTTTGCGTTTCAGGCTACAGGGGGAGGTTACCGAACGTCGTTGCGTTGTGTCCGCCAAGCGTTCGCAAGCGTTCGCAAAGCATTCGCAAGCGTTCGCAAAGCGTTCGCAAGCGTCCGCAAAGCGTTCGCGAGTGGCGTAATGCGTGCTGTTAAGGGGGAACTGCACAGGACGCGTGTGCCCGCGGCGTTCCGAATCCGTCAAGCTAAGGGGGAACTCCACAGGACGCGCGCCGCCGTGGCGTTCCACGTGCGTTCCGCAGCGTTCCGAATCCGTCAAGCTAAGGGGGAACTCCACAGGATGCGCGCCCCCGCGGCGTTCCACGTGGCGTTCCGGTGGTCCCGTGGTGTGGTCCCGTGGTGGTGGTCCCGTGGTGGTGGTCCCGTGGTGGTGGTCCCGTGGTGGTGGTCCCGTGGTGGTGGTCCCGTGGTGGTGGTCCCGTGGTGGTGGTCCCATGGTGGTGGTCCTGTGGTGGTGGTCCCGTGGTGGTGGTCCCGTGGTGGTGGTCCCGTGGTGGTGGTCCCGTGGTGGTGGTCCCGTGGTGGTGGTCCCGTGGTGGTGGTCCCGTGGTGGTGGTCCCGTGGTGGTGGTCCCGTGGTGGTGGTCCCGTGGTGGTGGTCCCGTGGGTGGTCCGTGTGGTTGGTCCCGTGGTGGTGGTCCCGTGGTGGTGGTCCCGTGGTGTGGTGGTCCCGTGGTGGTGGTCCCGTGGTGGTGGGTGGTCCCGTCTCGTGGTGGTGGTTCCGTGGTGGTGGTCCCGTGGTGGTCCCGTGGTGGTGGTCCCGTGGTGGTGGTCCCGTGGTGGTGGTCCCGTGGTGGTGGTCCCGTGGTGGTGGTCCTGTGGTGGTGGTCCCGTGGTGGTGGTCCCGTGGTGGTGGTCCCGTGGTGGTGGTCCCGTGGTGGTGGTCCCGTGGTGGTGGTCCCGTGGTGGTGGTCCCGTGGTGGTGGTCCGTCCGCCCGCCACTGACGTTTCGTTTATATTGCGTTACATTTACGTTATAGGTGACTGCTTTCTGCACGCGGGTTCGTGGATCCTATCAATATTTTTTTTGCATGCTTCTTCGGTTAATTAACGTGGACATGGTTCCGTTTTGCGAGAAGCTTCCAGCATCTAACCCAAGTCGAGTTGTGCAGGCTCCGACAATCTAGCTTTGCTCTGCTTCAGTTGGATTCTTAAACGCCATCTGCCCTCATTTGTATACGAGTCTTTCATCCATGCAAATTTTGGATAGGACATTTGAAGGTTGATACGTTACCCAAAGCTGAGCCCTAGCTAGATTTCGGCCACCAAGGCTCAAGAAGTACAACTTAGCAATGCTTCCTAAGATACCTAGTGTCTAAAGCAAATCTGTCTCAAGTCCAATCACAATCAAAACTATCACAGTATGCAGACACAAATTCTGATTAACTATGAAATATATCCTGTTCAGCATCAAACGAGGATTTTTTGATTTGATCTGTGAAGCCCTTGGAAGACGCATAACTTTTTGTGGCTTTGTTCGCAGGTTCGCTGTGTGTTTCTGCCCATACTCTTTGTGTGCTTCACCGGCATTAATGTGCATTCTTTGCTGCGCCTTGTCACATGACGATTGTCTGGGCCCCTCTTTCAGGAGCTTGGCGTGCTTTTCAGAGCTTGGGTTTCTGGGTTCCGAACTTCGCGAAGGATTTTTTCATGAGTTTTCTTGAACGCTTGGGGTTTTTGAGCGATTTCAGGATGAAATTGGGTTCAGTTTGCAAAATATTGCAAAATGAACCATGGGATGATGGGATATTAATCGAATTTCAACGCAAGTGGCTGTGTAGTTGGTGGTACCTCAGGAGCAGGTCGCCCAGACAGTGAGGCAGTTCACCCCCGAAGCAGATATTCTAAGTTCTCTCGGATTTCTGTTTCCAGTTTTAAGGGTGTCTACGGGGCGAAGAACGTTGCAAAACCTAGAAGGCACTTAGCAATCAGACAATTTCCGGCCAGAAATATAGAAATATAGTTGGAATGTCAGGCACTCATTCAGTGCCGTCAGATAGATTGAGCACTGGCAGGTTTACAAGAGCAAGTGCGTTTGTGGTCGTTGATTCCCCACATCATTGTGGGCTCTTGTTTACCGCCTCCGCCGCCTCCGCCGCGCGCCTGCCTGGCGCGCGCGAAGTCGCCCCAAAGCCGCCCCAACGTCGCCCCAAAGTCGCCCCAAGCATCGTGGGAGCCGCCCCAAAACCTCGCACAACCTCGCGAAAAGTGCACCGATCGGGGTTGCCTGGCCACGGATACGGTGGATGCCTGGCACCCAGACTAGGGTTTAGGGTTTAGGGTTTAGGGGTTTTGGTTTGGGGTTCACAAAGAAGCAGCTCAACTACTCGCAGGGTCGGTTGTCAGAACTAAGGGCCCCCTTCATGAGGTCCCTGTTATATCGGGTACCCCCAAACAGAGGGGCCACAATTTTCAGAATTGACCATCTTGCTGGCGGTCCATCGACCGACCACCAGCTTCCTCACACGTCGATAGCCGCTGTTGTTCGACAAAAGCTGTGCATAATTTGAAGGTTTTTGGAGAAGGAAAAGGGCCAATAAGTCTTTCTGACCCACTCAGTTAGGCTTGGGTGGTGAGGAGCAGAAGTAGCACCTCCTACGCAAAACCTAAGCCCTCGCGCGACCCTAAACCCCAAATCCTGAACCTCACCAGCAAACCCTAAACCCGAAACCCTAAACCCTATGCATACTTTTGGGGTCCAGGCAAACCCTAAACCCTATAAATAGCCTATAAACCCAAAACACAGCAAGACATGAGGTCACTGTTGGCACCTCCACGAACCAAGTGGCGGCTTCGGAGGCGCTAAGCCATGGAGGCAGAGGGCCGGACAGCCCAAAAAATGAAAGGGTCCAAGGGAAAGGCTGAAGGGGTTAAGGGGGTTGGGGCTTACAAGATTAAAGGGTTTAAGGTATATGGGTTTAGGGGTTCAGGAACCCTCAAATTAGAGGGTTTAGGGTAAGGATCGTCTAGATGAGGGCAGACTTAATCGACATGTACCGAGCAGCAGCAACGTGGGAGCTTGGATGAGCTTGGATATACCGGAAGGGCTTCTGCACTGTTGACACCATGACTTCATGGATGCTTGCGAGCCAGAATTGACCAACGATACGCTTGTAATCGCAATCCCTGCGCTGCGATGCGGAGCAGGATCCATCGGTAGCTTTCTGCTCAAGTTTGCCAACCCTCCCTGTGACCATTATCGCTTTCTTCAGGCATGGCAACAACGAGTGAGCTGAAGTTCATGCAGCAGGCTGAGAATTGGCGAAGCGTCGGCCTATGCAAGCTGAACAACCTGAATGTCCCAAAGTTGCTAAAGATGCAAAAGGTCCAGCATGCAGTCCATGAAAAAGGTTTCTTTCATGTCCAACGTCATCTTATGACTGACGAGGAGCTTGAACATTGTGAGTTGGACGAAATGGAGCTTGATGATGGCAAGATGATGATGCTAGTGGACAAGAGTGTCTTTCATTGGACGGTGCTCCATGAAGAGAAGTTGAGCGAGGAACGCTTCCAGGAGATGATGGACAAATTGCAGCAGAACTCTCGTTACAGGGAAGCGCTGAAAAGCATTTCGGGCGAATTCCCAAAGAGGCTGAAGAGGAAATCGTCTGGCGGAACTGATCGTAGCTTCTTCGTGTTATACCTCTCGATGCCCAGCAGTTGGCTGGAGCGTTTGCAGAGCATTCCTGATTGGCTCTTACCTGAACGTAAGCAATCAAAAAGGCAACCCATTTGTTTGGACAAACTGCTTTTGCCAGCAACTCTCCCCGCAGCGTTGCCTAAAAGCGAACTTCCTGAATTTCATGGCTTGCCATTGGCGGCACCTAGAGAGCTCGCGCGTGAATGTTTCGATGAGCTGGACAATATCACCGAGTGGATGGTTGATGGCAAGCTGCGGGATCCTTTCCATCTCTTCAAGGTTCTTTGCCACTTGAAGGCGGTCGCCTCCAACATGCAAGATTACATACGTCTTTACGCAGCTGCAGTGAGCGCAACACAGCAAGATTGGGGCCCAGCAGTGGCATCGTGGAGCGAGGCAGTGAGGAATCAAGGAGATAGCTCAGTAGCGAGTGCAAAATCAAGTGAACGAGGCGGTGCACGGAATTATGAAAAGTGCATCAAAATGGCATCAGAGCTACCACAGGACAAGTCTCAACAGAAGGTGGCAGATGCCGTGGATGGCTTCGTTGCCGCAGTGGCTTACAAAGATACCTTGGAAGCCTCATTAAGGAAGGCAGTCGAGTGCGCAGTGGAGGGTTGTGAATTTTCCGTCAAGAAGCTGTCTCGGATATTGGAAAAGGCGGCCATCGATGGTGGGCGCGTGCCCAGGGACATCTTGCGCACGACTTTCTTCAGCAAGTCTTTCCGACACTTGGAGGAGCAGCTTCAGAAAATCTTAGCCGCGCATTGCGATGACGAAAGCCCCTGGAGAATCCAGAACGTTAAAATCCGCTTCTCGGATCCCCGCTCCGACGTCAAAGACATCCTTCTCAGCATCAGCCACAAGGATGCCCCTGTCTTCGTGGAGATTCAATTCCAACATCAGAAGGTATATGACGGGGCAAGGAAATGTTTCAACTCTCACAAGCCATTTACTACGGCGAGGGCAGCCCGGGAGCTGTGCACAATCTGAGTTGCCAACCCTTTAAGATTGCTCGCAGGCTTCCCACATGCATAATTCGACTTGCGCGCGCAGAAAGGGTTTTGTCCGCTGGGGATCTTTGGGACCTTGGCGGGGAGTTGGCGTGGATCGAGCCAGAGGATGTGTCACAGGCCACCTTGAGTGGTTTAATTGGGTTTGCGGTTGGGGCTTCCAGGTGTTTTATAAGGCTTAACAAGGCTTATATAGTATAGGTTTTAGGGGAGGGGCTTTGCATTTCTTTTGCCTTCTACCTGCCATGGCAGAGCTTCAGGTCACACACTACATGCTTTACTTGGCGAAGCCTTTGGAAGATCCAGCTTCCTCTGCCTTGGCTGCTAATCCATTGTTTCAAGGGTTCCAAGTGGCAAAGACGTGTGAAGCCAACCCGAACAATCAACAACTGAGCCCACACACTACAGTCACTACAGTCGCTACAGTCACTACAGCACGGACCCCGAACACCCTGAACCGCCATCCCGCAATCTGACCCTGACCCGCTCGCACCAAACCAGTCTTTGAAGACTGAATCTGAGCCTCACCAACAGATCGGCGCCCGACTCAGGGGACTGACGTGCATTTTCGTGCAGTGTACGTTGTACGTTGGGTGCATTAGGCCACGGTGAAGGGATAAACACATCCTAGACGTCGTCCCACATGGACCACGCCTTTTTTAGCAATAGGACTCTCTGGAGGTGGTGCTGGCGGCTGTGATCTCTGGGTCCTTTTCATTTGCTCTGGATGGTGCATCTGCTACTTGTCCAGCACTGATCGGTTCACGTTGCACGCCTCCACATCTCCCGAAATCACTAAGCGTCCAAAATCCGAATTCGCAGCCCCACACCCCGACAGATTGAATGGCTTGCAGTCTTATAAAGCTTGCGCCCCGGGTAATTTTCATAACTTGCAGCTTGCACCCTCCAAAAAGCGAAGCCCCCGCGAAAGCTGAGGCATCTCAGGTGGCCCAGGCCGCAGCCTCGGCCCTCGGGATTGCGCTTGGCGTGGACCCCTCCACAGTGCTCGTCTAGGCCACAGTTTGAGTTGGTTTGAGTCTTTGTCATAGTTTGTCAGGGCTCCTGGAGTGTGAGAAAAGGCTTAAATTAAGGAAAGGGGCACGTTGCCTGAAGCCTCGGTGCTTCAGGATTCAGTGGAAACAATGCAATCATCTTGAAAGTTCGAGAGTCTCAACGGGATCGGCCCGGATATGAATTGGCAATGTCTGAGTCTCGGGTGACCCAATCGTCGGCACGGCGATTGGGGCCAGCGGTCGGCTGGCCACTTCGTTATCAAGCCCTCCGATTGCACTGTAGGCGTTGAAGCGACCAACTTGTTTTGGAGAAGCTGAGAAAAGTCAGACCCATATAAACAGACTCGTTCCACTCAATGGCTATTGATCTTTCATGTCAAACTGTAGTCTTGCGCGCTCAACTCTCCGCCTGCTCCTGAGTAAGATCACTATAGGTAGGCCTGTGGTATACTCTGAGGCTCTTTACTGTAGCCTTAGATCCTTAGCCTTTTGGGCTTACAGGGTTTCTTAAGCAGGTAGCTGAACAGAATATTTTTTTATACTATAGCTTCCCTTTTCAGCACAGCCAAGTTCTAATGTTTATTTTACCCTTCCTGGATTGAAGTTGATTGAAGAGGATGTTACCAGCTAACGCCAGCTATGAAACCAATAGCCCCCTAGTTCTAAGTCCCGTAAGGCCGAAACCAACAAAGCTATAGGCTACCCTAAACCCTAAACCCTAAACCCTATATAGGATATAGGCTTTCTGGGATGCTTTATAAGGCCGTGCCAGGTTTGTAGGGCTTACGGGTTCAGGGATTAGGACTGAATGTTCTTTGAAACTGTATAAACGGATCCCTATGACTATCCACTTCCGGAGTCTAAGTTCCGGTTTCACCCAGGGGGATTCGGGTGTCGTGCTTCTTGTGGTTCTAGGTCAGAGCCACGAAAAGCCGGCTTTGGCCCGTTTAGGCTTTGGGGTTTAGGGATCTAGACTACAGGGCTGAAGGTCTAGGGCCTAGGGAGTTTGGGTTTTGTTCTATAGAGATTTAGGGGCATGGGGTTTGCATGTTTCGGATGTAGGAGTTACAGCAGTTATCTGTTTGGTGTAATACATTGTTGGTTGTGGGGACGAAATGAACCCTAAAATGGGGATCATATACCCCACACCACCATAATCCCAATGAAGGTATGTGGACCCTAAACCTCTGAAAGATACGGGACACCCTAGCAAATCTCGTCAAGTGGATGTTTTGCTGAGCCATGACCTGACCTACAGCATCATTCCCCAAGCAGAGCTTTGGTTTAGGGTTTAGGGTTTAGGGTCTGGACTCTAGATGTCAAACAACACACATGATCTGGAGTCTAAGCTCTACTAAGACCCTAGCCTTAAGGTAAACAGCCTGACGAATTCCAGCATTGCACGTGCTCCATATTTATCACATCGTCTTTAACAATGAAAAAATACGTGGACCATTGCTCGCCCTAAGCCTCACGGAAACCCCGATAGGGGGCATTCGGCCCCCACTGCGGCCCTGCTTTCCGCACAGTCCTTCGCCTGCGGACGCCGCTTGGGAAACGGCGCTAAACCCCACTAAGCTAAGCATTGAACCCCAACCGTCAACGCATGCTAAGCTCCAAACCCTAAACCCTGAACCCTCAACCCTAAACCCTTAAATCCTAAACCCTAAACCATGAACCTTAAACCCTAAACTCTCGAGATGGATTGGGGGAGTGGCCTTGGTACACGCTTGGTACGGCTGAAAAGAAGCGGGGGGGGGGGGTTTTGGGGGGGGGGGGGGGGGGGGGGGGGCAACCCCACCCCCCACTTGCAAACACCCTGCTCACATGATGGGCGTCAACAAGTTTCTTGGGCTTTGAAGCACGCTCTGCACGGCTTAAAAAACAAAAGCGGGGGGGTTGGGGGGGGCGCAGCCCCCCATTTGCACACAATGCTCACACGATGTTTTTCACACAGCCCCCCCCCCCCACTTGCAAACACCCTGCTCACATGACGGGTGTCAACAAGTTGCTTGGGCTTTGAAGCACGCTCTGCACGGCTTAAAGGAAAAAAGGGGGGGTTGGGGGGGGCGCAGCCCCCCCCATTTGCACACAATGCCCACACGATGTTTTTCAACTAGTTTCTCGGAGGGGGGGGAGGGTTGGGGAGGGGTTGGGGGGGGGGGGGCTGCCCCCCCATTTGAAACACAATGCTCACACGATGTTTTTGCACTAGTTTCTTGGGCTTTAAGGCCCGCTTGGTACGGCTTAAAAAAAGCAGGGCGGGTGGGGGGGGCGCAGCCTGCACGCCTTAAAAAAAGCGGGGGGGTTGGGGGGGGGCGCAGCCCCCCCCATTTTGCAAACACAATGCTCGCATTTTTTCTCTGAAGCACGCTTGGTACGGCTTAAAAAAAACGGGGCGGGAGTCGGGGGGGAAGCGGGGGGTTGGGGGGGGCGCAGCCCCCCCCCCCCCAAACACAATGCTCTCACGATGTTTTTTTTTCTCTCAACTCAGTTTCTTGGGCTTTGAAGCACGCTTGGTACGGCTTAAAAGAAGCGGGGGGGGTGAGGGGGGGCGCAGCCCCCCCCCAATTTGCAAACACCCTGCTCACATGATGGGTGTCAACAAGTTTCTTGGGCTTTGAAGCACGTTCTGAACCCCTCCCCCTCCATTTGCAAACACAATGCTCACAAGATGTTTTGCACGCTCTGCGTGGCACGCTTGGTACGGCTTAAAAGAAGCGGGGGGGTTTGGGGGGGGGGGCCGCAGCCCCTACCGCCATTTGCAAACACAATGCTCACATGATGGCTTTCAACAAGTTTCTTGGGCTTTGAAGCACGCTCTGCACGCCTTTTTAATAGCGGGGGGGTTGGGGGGGGCGCAGCCCCCCCCATTTGCAAACACAATGCTCACACGATGCTTTTTTCTTCAACTAGGTTCCTTGGGCTTTGAGGCACACTTGGTACGGCTTGAAAGAAGCGGGGTTGGGCAGGGGTTGGGGGGGGGGGGCTGCCCCCCTTTTGAAACACACAATGCTCACACGATGTGTTGGGTTGGGGGGATGTTTTTTGTTCTCTCAACTCAGTTTCTTGGGCTTTGAAGCACGCTTGGTACGGCTTAAAAGAAGCGGGGGGGGTTGGGGGGGGGGCAGCCCCCCCCCCATTTGCAAACACCCTGCTCACATGATGGGTGTCAACAAGTTTCTTGGGCTTTGAAGCACGTTCTGAAACCCTCCCCCTCCATTTGCAAACACAATGCTCACAAGATGTTTCGCAACTAGTTTTCTTGGGCTTTGAAGCACGCTTGGTACGGCTTAAAGAAGCGGGGGGGTGGGGGGCTGTTTCAACTAGTTTCTTGGGCTTTGAAGCACGCTTGGTACGGCTTAAAAAAAGTGGGGGGGGTTGGGGGGGGGGGGTGGGGGCGGAGTTTCTTGGGCTTTGAAGGCGGGGGGGGGGGGGCCGCAGCCCCTACCGCCATTTGCAAACACAATGCTCACATGATGGGTTTCACTCGAACTCGATTCCGCAGCGGTCTGGTCTGACCTACTAGCTAGCTGTAGTTCATGACATGTGTCACGGCCGCTCTGTGGCGGCGGCTAACAGCTTCGGGTATGGACAGCAAGAGACGTCCCGCAGGAACCGGAGTTCAACTAGACTGCAGGCAAAACGGTCTCAAGCGCAACAGAGCCTACTCGGACCTACCGTGGACAGGAAAAGAACGTATTCACACAAACTCTAATGTACAGTGTATATACAAGAGAAACTACAGTACGGCTGGTCTCACAGTTCGCTCACTCACAGGGCTAGACAGTGTGGGCACACTTGTGCCGCAGATGTCCTGGGGCCGATGAAGGTGCGGCACCCCTGTGCTGATGGAGCAACGCATGACTGCATATGGTGACATGGTTGAGAATAGGACACGGTACACTGAAGAGGAAGAGCACAAAAACACTCAGGGAGAGTGTAGCTATCTCATTTTCTCATCACT